CGTCGATCTGAAAATTACACAGTTCGTTCCGATTCGATAGTGCTAGAGAGAAGGAAATTGGAATCGCAGAGAAAAATCTTGGGTTGCTTAAACCCTAGTAGAATAAAGGGCATGAAGATTTTTCCGTCGGTCCTGAATTTTCATTTTGGGATGTTGTCCATATGGGCTGGTTACTTTTGAGCTTTTTTTTTTTGGGGCCTCTTTTGGGCTTTGAAATCTATTCTTTTCCAATCAGGTCCAGCTCATCTTTTTCTGTTAAGGACAGGCCCAGCTCCTTACTCTTGTTATTATTTCATTTCTTTTCTTCTCCTCCTTCTTTTTCTCCCATTTTTTTTTATAAAATGAGTTTCTGTCATATGGTAAAATATAAACTATTAAACTGGAGTGAACCTTTAAAATCAGGAAATTTGTTTTATTTAATAGTTAAATTTATATAATTTGAAGTAATTTAGATTTTATTTATTGTAAAATATAAACAATTAAATAAAAGTAAATTTTAATATCAAAAAAATCGTTTTATTTAATAGTTAAAATTATAAATTTTGAAGTAATTCAGATTGTATAATACTTTTTCATTTTGATATTTCTTTTTTTTTTTTGGCAAATTCATTATTATTTATTTTCTTTTCTACCCACATTAAATTTTTTAATATAGCCATGCATTTTTGCCTTGTAACAACATAATTTTAATATGAAAAGCTCAACTTTTTACAGAACTGCTGCTTGGAAATTGTCACAAAAGAATAGAAGTGTTTTTTTCCCCCCTTTTATAGAGGACTTAAACACAAGTTAATCATTAATTAATTAATTTAATATATGTATGTATGTATATGACGAAGGAAAACATTATATTTTACATATTTTGAAATGATTTTAACATTATGAAAGGGAAGCAAACACCTACTTTATCCACACATTCACAAAATTATTATACAAACACAAAAAGGCTGAAGATTCTGAAAACATTTCAAATTTTCCTAGAAATAAAATGGAATATTTGACAAAACTCGACGAAGGATGAGAAAATTAGTTCAATTATCACGGCAGGATCAAGTGGTGTCTTGTCTTGTCTTCCTCACAGCTCCCAAATGTAAGCAGCCAAAATTTCCCATCATTTCTACAGCCACAGCTCAATCAACCAAGCAAAAATTAGGCAGCTTTCCAGTTTTCCCTTTCATAATTACACCCTTTTTTCATGAAAGTTCAGAGCTTTTCAATACTCGCAGCCTCCTTGCACTCGACACAAACATACTGCCAAACAGAAAATTTCACCACAATAATTTTTCATTTCTTGGAAAAACTAGATGCTAGATACAGTTGCATATATAGGTAAACTCTTCTAATAGACAGATAATAGGACTGTAGTAATTATTATACTGTTGTATTTGTTAAGATTACACAGTTTTTTAGATATTTTATTAATTTATTATCTTTTTAATCTATTAGTTATGATCATTTAAAACGTTTATTTATAAATTAATATTAATCTTTTAAATAATAAATATTAATTATTTTATCAATAATTAATTATTTTTAATAAGAAAACTAAAATAAAAATTATACAATTTGAATAGTCCTAACAAATACATCTCTAACCATAATCAAAACCATATAATGGTGTGGTCCATGAATGTAACTTCTTCTTTTTTTTTTTCACAATAATTGTTTTATTGACTTTTTATGCATAATTCTGAATAATGTTTTTATATAATATATATATATATATAAATTATAAATAAATCTTTTTATTCAATAAAATTATTTCACAAGAATCGTCTACAAAGTAAAAATGTTCAATTACAAATTATAAACTATATAGAAGTATCACATAAAGTTATGTACAAAAAGGTTAAGGAGATGGTAAATTTGAGATGGAGGGAGTTGTAATGTTTTATAGTCATTTTCCATGGATAAGTAGTGCAATGATTATTTGGAATTTGATGTGGAAGAAAATAAAGGAAGAAAATGCTTACTCCCATGGCACATCCCCAACAAGAATCCTGTCTCCTTCATCATCTTCATAAACCAGAGTATATTCTCCATTTCCAGCCAGGGATTCTTCCCTTGTTTTTGATTCTTCTATTTTGCTTCCATCTTGAGTGGCAGAAGAATCTCTTTGAACTAAAAGACAAAACCAATGTAAGAGAACAGATTCTCGGATTTGGTAACAAGGAACAAGGACCCAACAATGGAAATTTGATGTAAAAACATTTATAGAAATTTGTAGACAAACCTGCTAGAAGACCACTGAAGAGTTGGTCTATGGCAACAGAGAGTTCCTCATAGCTGTTGTAGGCTTGAAGGTTTACTTTCCTTCCAATTGGGATCCCTTCCATATTGATCTTTACAAACTGATTTCTCTCAATATTTTCGTCTTTTTTCTTCTTCAGGGTTTTTGGTGGTTCTGATGCTGGTTTTGATGAAGAGTTGTTGTTTCCGGTGAGATTTTTTCTGGATGACCTGATTGGCGGCCAACCGACCACTGGAGCACATGCCATTGTTCTGTTCATTTTCAGGCAGCAATTAAAGGAACAGAGAAAAAAAAAAACCAAAGTACCATATCAATGACATGATCATAGATTCACACAAACTGAACTCAAGGAAGAAAGGAAAAGTATGATAACCTTTCACGGAAAGTATTTGGCTTTTTATCTGTGTGCTGTGAAGATTCCTCTGCCATGGCAGAAAGCTTGTTGGAGATTGAGGGGCTGGAATTTTGTTTGTCCTTCTGAGTCTCCCTCCAAAAGGCCAGAGAAGATGGATTTTCTCCATTCTTTGGTTCAACAGTGTGTTGAAATGCTCTTTTTGGTCCATTTTTGCACCCAAGGAGTGCCTCTCCTGGAGGACCAAGCCTTAGCTCCAATTTTCTGTCCTCTTCTTTCTTCTGGGTCATCAAATTCAGCAACTGAGGATATTCCTCCATCTCAATTACCCACTAAATTGGGAGAGTGAAATAGACAATAGCAAAAAAACACAAAATTAAAAGTTCCTAGTGGCAACAAAAACTTCAACCAAGAAGAAAAATTGGGTTCATCAAATTGAAGTAGACCCAGAAGAAACTATAGAACTTGGTGATTTTAGGCATGGATATATAGCAAGGCGGATAATTACATGGCACTTTTTTTTTCTTTTACCCTGTTTTGGAGAGTATTATTAGACGGAAAGTGCAAGCCTGCAAGGAGAAAACAAGACTACAAAGAGTACTAGAAATGGAAACCTGGCAGTGGACGCGCCAGAACTTTAGGTGCAAGGGAATTTGTAGTCACATTTGCTTGATGCTTTCTTTACCAAGATATGACACCACTGTAACTCCTGTGCTAAGGAAAAGAATGCAACTGATGCTTTCTCCCTTTTTTCTCTATGGTAGCTAATGCTTTTACTTAAGCACGTGGCACATGATTCAGACAACATAAAAGAAAGGAGACTAGACCAGGTTATGATTTTTTTTGGCGCATAACTAATAAGTCATTCTAAAGGAATTTGCGAGTAATTATCTTCTCGCAACTTTCTCTAAAAAATCGAACTTTGATAAAATAAGATGAGAAGCAAACTTCAAGCTAAGCACTCATCGATAACCGATAAACCAACTAGGTTTTTTTCTTTTTCTTTTTCTTTTTTTTCCTTTTTCAAGCATCAGTATAACAGTTAATTATTAAGCAAAGAAAGTGGGCAAAGTTGGTTCTTTTTGTTAATTAATGGGAAAATTGAAGTTAATTGCTGTTTGCTGAAAATGATTATTGGCAAAGCAAACCAATGTGGGTGTAGCAAGGAGTTGCTTTTTTATCACAAACGAAGATGGCAAAATTCATCAAAATGAGGAACAAAACATGGGTTGTATACAGACCTCCACCAGTCAACTTTGCAATACCAAGTCAACTGCTCCAATATCTCCTAACACAAAACTATTGGATCAAAATTGTCCTTGAATTTTGAATATGAGGCTCTAATTTGATTATCAAACTTCCCAACTATTATGTAAAATTGAGAAACTTTGATTTGCATCCTAAAATCATCGACACTTTTTATATAACCAGTTCGTTTAGCCCTTGAAATGATATTGGATGATAATCCGCCAGCCCACCTTCCCAAGAAAATTTCTCAAGTTTTATCTCTTGTTATATGTATTTGGTGTTTGTGACTTAGTTCTGATGTAATTGTGTTGTTGTCCTCCTTTTTTTTTTTTTTT